TTCCACTATGTGCCGAGAGAAGAAAATCAAATGGCTGATTCCTTAACTACCTTGGCAGCCGTATTTAAGACTAGCGGGAAGTCTGAAATGATGCCAATTGACATACAGTCGTATGAGTACCCGGCTCATTGTTACCAAATCGAAGAAGTAAAAGGCATTAAGCCTTGGTATCATGACATTCTGCAATACATCAAGAATCAGAGTTATCCACCGAGACTAACAAAAGAACCACTAGAAGGATGGCAGCTGGATATTTCCTTGATGGGGAGGTCTTGTACAAGAAAAGCCATGACCAAGTCCTATTAAGGTGTGTAGATGCAGAAGAAGCAAAAATAATAGTGGAAGAAGTACATGACGGAGTTTGTGGAACACATGCAAATGGGCACATGATGTCAAGACAAATTATGAGATGCAGATATTTTTGGTCAACACTGGAAAGTGATTGCATCAACTATGCTAGAAGATGTCATAAGTTTCAGATTTACGGAGATAAAATAAATGTTCCACCTCATCCACTTCACGTGATGACATCACCATGACATTTTTCTATGTGGGGCATGGATGTTATCGGGCAAATCCATTCGAAGGCTTCGAATGGTCACCGTTTCATTCTCGTGGTAATTGATTATTTCACCAAGTGGGTAGAGGCTGCTTCTTACTCCAGTGTTACTCAGTCAACTATTTGCAAGTTTTTGAAGAAATAAATCATATGTCGGTATGGTTTACCTGAAAGAATCATTACCGATAATGCTACAAACCTGAACAACAAAATGATGAATGCTGCATGTGAGCAATTTAACATAAAGCATCACAATTCTACTACCTATAGACCAAAAATGAACAGAACAGTAGAAGCAGTAAACAAAAATGTTAAAAAGATAGTGGAGAAAACGACTGAGACCTACTAGGACTGGCACGAGAAATTGCCTTTTTCTTTGTTCGCTTACCTAACCTCGGTACGAACCTCGACTGGGGTAACTCCATTTTCACTAGCTTATGGAATGGAAGCAGTACTGCCCATTGAAGTAGAGATTCCGTCACTCCGGGTCTTGACAGAGGTCAAACTGGATGATGCAGAATGGGTGCAATCCTGATATGATCAGCTGAACCTGATAGATGAAAAAAGACTGAAAGCCATTCATCACAGTCAAATCTATTAGAAACGAATGATTCAGGCACATGACAAGAAGGTGCGCCCGAGAATATTTCGTGAAGGAGACCTGGTGCTAAAGTGAATTTGGTCAATCCAAAAAGATTTCAGAGGAAAATGGATGCCAAATTGGGAAGGACCTTATGTCGTAAAAAAGGCCTTTTCCGGAGGAGCCCTTGTTCTGGCTGAAATGGACGGACCAGAACTGCCACATCTCGTCAATTTGGATGCAGTCAAGAAATACTTCGCTTAGGATGAAAACCCAAGATGGCATCCTAAGTCGAAAAAAGAAAAAGAAAAAGAAAAGAACAAAAAAAAAAAGAAAAAATGTTTCGGGTGAAAACCCGAAAGGGCACACTAAATAGAGAAAATAGAAAAAGAACAAAAAGAAAAAAGAGAAGAAAAAAAGAAAAATAAGGTGGGTTTAAGATGAAAACCCGCAAAGGGCGCCTTGCAACCAAGGATGGGTCCAAGTTGAAAACCCGAAAGGGCGATTTGATTATTAATTCAAGAAATCCAGACATCCCGACATCTGAATCCTCTACAAGATTAACGAGTCGGAGAAAGGTTGCACTTTCCTGAATGTTGTCGCATCTTCAAAGATCCCTTGGCAAAGGTTGCATTCAAGGACACTTAATGGCTTATCAGTTCAACAGTGCCACATTATCGAGATCTAAGACATTCATTCACACTTCATCATATATTCATTTTCCAGAATGTTTGCCATTTGTTCTTTTTTTTTTTCCTTATGAATAAAGACAATTTTTTTTCTAAATCAATTCCTTTTGAGCATCTTGGGTTGAATTTAAACCTAATGATTTATTTAATTTTGCAAAAGATAATTGCATATTACTGTACAAAGACTCTTTGAAAAGTACAGGTACTCAGAAAGCCGATCAAGGCTCATGCACATAATTGAGATGGTCGAGAAGTATTTTCCAAATCAAGGATAAAAACATATCAGATTTAAACATTTGAAGAATTCAAGATCGGGAATTAGAACTTCAAGATTCCATAATCAAGAGTCAATAAGACAGGCAACCAGAGATCGAGATTTTTCTCCAGAACCCAAAATAACATATGTTGCCTATGCATTTTAGGCATACCTAAGAGCATTTCATCCATAGCATCACATATATGCATAACTTTGCAGGTTCTAGCTAGAGTCAATTTTAACTTCACAACGAAGGATATTGGACTCGAAGTAACACCATTTACTCAAGATTGATTTTCAACTTCACAACGAAGGGGACATTCATGATTTCAACTTCACGAGGATATCGTGCTCACAAACAACATTGGATTTTAACTTCACAGTGAATGATATCCAATTCAATGCACAACTTCACAGTGAAGGGGCTTCCCAGTTTCATTCAGAGCCAATTTCAACTTCACGGCGAAAGATATTGGACCCGAAACATCCACGATTTCAACTTCACAGCGAAGGATATTGGACTCGAAACATCCACGATTTCAACTTCACGACGAAGGTTATTGTGCTCACAAACAATATTGGATTTCAACTTCACAGGATATCCAATTCAAAGCTCAACTTCACAGAGAAGGGGCTTCCCAATTTCATTCAGAGCCAATTTCAACTTCGCGGCGAAGGATATTAGACTCGAAATATCCACGATTTCAACTTCACGACGAAGGATATCGTGCTCACAAATAACATTGGATTTCAACTTCACTACGAAAGATATCCAATTTAAAGCTCAACTTCAAAGTGAATGAGTCACTTTACGATTTCAACTTCACGACGAAGGATATCGTACCCAAGAGATTGACCCAACTTCACGACAAAGGAGTCATCTGTAACACAACAACATCGAAGTCTTCATGTCAAGTTTCAGCTTCACGACAAAGTATCTTGAGCTAGTATATGATACAGAGAGATACTTGCGAAAACTTTGAGTTCGATTTTAACTTCGCAACGAAGGATATCGTGCTCTAGTTCAACTCAACCTCATGACGAGGGAATCATTTCGTAATTATAAATTAATTTTAACATTGGATTTCAACTCTACGACAAAGGATATTCGATATGGATGAAATTTGTGCCTTTTAATCTTTGCCCTATTGTCGTTACACGATAATGAGCAAAGAGAGGCAGCTATAGACACTTCATTTCGCCCTGGCCCTACTCTAAACAACTTGTTACCATCGCTGCCCCAGAGCATTAATGCTTGTTTTCTACCAATGCCTACAGATGCATGTGAGATCTGATCTAAAGTATGATTAGATTGCAAATTGCTATTTTTTTATATGTAAAAGCTATGTAAGAAAATGGCTATAAATAGCCGATTGAAAATGTAACACCAGGAGAGGAGGAAAACAATTGTAAGGGGATTACTCTCGTTTTTCAGAAGGGGATAGCAATAAAATACATATTTTTTTCCAGCAATCCTAAGGTAGTTCAATTTATATTTCAGTTTTCTTTAATTTATTTGTTTAATTTGAATGCAACTAATAATAAGAATTTTAGTTTGTAATTTTGTTCGTAGTTAACGTAAATTCCATGAGTTAAAAAAATAATTGAAATAGAGATAGAGAGTTAAGTTACCTTGCTGCAGTATGTCGGAGTAGGGGTGTCGTCGTCGTCGGGTCTAGAGTCGAGTGGTCGGTGTGGCTCTCGAATTCACTGGAAATTTGGGTCGCCATGGTTGCTCTATCGCGCTGGTGAAGGAAAATAAAGCAGAAGACTAAAAATGAAAAACTGATATGTTCACGTGTAGAAGGAAGAAAGGAAAAGATATTAAGCTTTAATTTTTTTTTGGTTAAATCACTTATCAGACCACTAGTTTTTAAGAGCTTTATATTTTGTTCATATATATTAATGATTAAATCACGCATAAGGTCCTCATGTTCAGCGTGTTTTGTGCTTTGGTCCTATCAGGGTAAAATCACCTTTAAGCTCCCTTATTTTAATGTCTTTTGCATTTTGGTCATATATTTTGTTATGTGTTACGAATATGCATATTGATTTTAATAATCTTCGAATTTAGCCACTGTTATTTTAATTTTTTTATTTATTCAGATCCTTGTTTATTTTTTATTTAGTTATTATTTTATGTTTTATTACATTTTAGTCAACATAATTAGATTTTATTACAATTTAGGCTCATGTATTTATTTTAAATTGGTTGTTGAGGATCTTATTTGTTCATATTTATTTATTAGGTCATTTTACTTTAATCCTTTAATTTTCTGTTTGTGCTATTTTAGTACTTTTTTTTTGCTATTTAATATATTAAGTTTCTGTTTTTCTCTTACAGCTCATTCATATATTTAATTCGATCCGTGAATTTTAATTACTTCTAATTTCTAATTATTTTTTATATAAATTCTATTTCGCTCCCTTTTATTTATTTATTTATTTACCTATTTTATATTTTATCTTTTAATACTAATTCTTTGTCTTTGTTGGTTTTATTTTTTTACTTTATTTATGATTTTTAGGGATAATTTTAATTGATCAAAAGATAAATAATTATGATCGAATTTTGTAATTTTAATTTTAATTTTTGTAATTAAGACAATCGATAAATTAAATGATACCGAAATGGCAGTTCTAGGGTGCTAATATTTCCTTAACTGTAACCGACTCCCGAGTCCGACATATTTATGGTAAAAATTAGATCAGGTAAGATGGTATCCGATCAACCTAAATATTTTTTAAATGATCGGTGGCGACTCCAATATTTTATTTAAATCGAAGTTAAATTCCGGGTTCACCCGAAAGGCGGTTGGGACAAGTTTCACTTATTTTTTCTGTGGCCTTCTTTCAGTTCTTTACAACACAACCTTTTGCATGTGATCCTTCAAGTTTACCCAAATATCCTCGTAACAAGGAGATCGATGCTAAGCTGCGGGACGAAGAAGCTCGAAGGTATATGTTAAATTTGATTATTATTGAATTAAAAAATCAGCGTTGTATAGATTTTATTTCTGGATCATTAAGATTAACCTCTTCTTATATTATCTTAGGCAAAGAACAGTTGGGAGCAGGTCAAGGGTTGACATCGAAAGGAGGGGGCAGAAGGAACTGGTTTCTATGACATCATCCAATTCTAATGCTGAGCTGACCACGTCGTTGCTGGTATTTTTGTTCTTCAGAAGATTTGATGCCTATTCGTTCGAATGCCAATCATATGCAACTAGATGACATTTTTTCTTCGCTAATTGCTTCGCCTCTTGCTCCTCGAATTACAGAGAATAGAACCGCATCCTAATTTGAAGAGCATGAGTCAGATGTTGAACGCTCGTAACACAGATGGATTTTCTGGTTTTTTGGTTGATCCCTCTTGTTGGTAATGTTCAAGCCTACATAGTGTTGAAAATACTATTGAGAATGGTATTTAAGGCTTGATATTTCACTTCCTTATTGAGTGATAGAGAACAAGGGGGCTCTCGCGCACCGCCGCCGCTGTCCGTCTCGTCTCGTCTCGTCACGGCTCGGCTCGGCTCGGCTCGGTTGTGGTCGTGGTCGTGGTCGTGGTAATACGTATCTTCGACACATCCGCGCGGATACTGGACTGATTTACAGCTTTGTACAGAGGAGACAAGCTGTTAATATCAAGAGTTACATGATATAATTTCGGGAGTTATAACAGCTGAATAATGATACATAACGGTGTAGTTTTGCAGTTCACATATCCAATACCTCTATACAAGCTGCAATTCTAAACCTGGCTTTCATGTGAACATATAATGTATTCTAAAACATGTGTATTCTTATGAATGCTATATTACCCAGCATGGTCGTGGTCCTAGGGGAAACAAAATCTACGTTTCGGGTCCATTACTTGTTCCATCCGAGAATGTAGATCAATTGCTTAAGGAGCATGACAGTAAGATCCAAGAATTCGCTCGAAGAGCAAGGCTTGACAAGACAAAACCTGCGAAACCACAAACTCAAGGTAAGCAAGGGACAGAAAATTCATCGTTCGTCACCTCTCGCAGAGCTGGATAGATGTTTCACTCTCTTTTCTTTTTTCGATCGTAGTGATGAAGAAGCTGGAAAATCAGGTAATCTAAGAGCAAGAGATAATTAGATTACAGGATTTACCATGTATAGTGAGTCTCCATATGGGTAAGCTCAAGGAAAAAATTATAGTATTTGAGCAAAAGAAGTACTCATTAATCTCCTTTGATTGGGTAAGATATAAATTTATCTGGAATGTAGCTGATTGCTACATTTTTTATACATCAATAATAGAATTAAGAAGAAGGATTACAATTTTGAAACTGTTTCTTTTTGTTCCTCCATTCTCGTTACATCATGTGTTTTAGTAAACTACCGTCTAATATAATGATAAAAAAAAAGTTAAATATCCATTTATTATCTGGATTTGTTGTGCTTCGTTGAAGGTCCTTTGCACACACTATTTTTATGCCTTACAGCCATTGGAAGACCTTAAGACATCTCTGAATCTTCGGCTTTCTAAGAACTTCGAACATTTAATGTGACTCATTGGCAAACTCAAACAGATTTCATATGATCTATCAGAACAAAATCTACCATCACATAACATTATTCACCTAACCTGTTAACTTACGAGTAGTTATAATAATTCTATGACTGACGCTCGTATTAAGTTCACTATAAAATTTTTAAATCAAGATTGAGAAAGGAGATATAATCTCAATGGAATTAGTTCATCCAACTCTTTTCTAGAATTTTAATATTGATTAACAATCAATTTTTTTTACTAATAATTATTTTTCATCTAAACTAATCGATCTAACAATTATTTTTCATCCAAATTATTAAAAAGAATAAATTATTAATAGTCATTTTAATCACATCTACATGATTATACCAAACTTTTTAATAGTACACAAATGATTTTTTATTTTCAACTTGATATATAAATTTGTTTGTAACGAAATCTAACATGAACCTATTGAAATTGGACCCCTAACATAAGAAAGTATAAAAATTAAAATTGAAAGCCTAGAATGTACATTATTCCAAAGTTCAGCAGTTGACTTTCTCAAGAAACCCTACCGACCCCCAATCCCAAAAAACACCGTCGCCTCGATGAGGACCCCCCGACAAAAACCCCTTGCCGACGTCAGCCATTCCTGATCCCAAACCTGGCTCCTCCCACATTTTAAATACCCCCATGGAAGCGGATCAACAAGCATCCCTTCCTCCCTGTTAGGAAAATAAACCGAGTACAAGTAATTTCCCTATAACCAGATTAGTGAGAATGCGAAATAAAAGCGGAAAAATAATACCCGAAAATTGATAACGGAGTTCAGCCAATTGTGCTTACGTCTCCGGGCTGCTGCAGATCTTTTACTAAGAGAGAAAATTTACAGGTGTTTACAAAACACTCACTACTCACAAGAAAGCTCTCTAGTGTAGGAAGAAAGAAATGTTTTGGGATGATTTTGAAGCTAAATGGGTAAGGGTATTTATAGTAGAAACTTAGGGACTAATCTTTGAAAATACCCTAAAGTGCAATGACTAAAGTGAATTTACCCATTCCTATTTTCAACAAACATCTACCAAAATTTTACCAAACTTTGAAAAACATTTTTCAAAGAAACATTTACCAAACTTTGAAAAAACATTTTCCAAAGTTGGTTGCCAAACTTTGAAACTTTTAACAATCTCCCACTTGAAGACTGATTTTAATATGTCTTCACACCTCGATCAATGCAGCAGCATGTGGTCTTGTTATTCTAGCATGCCAACTGAAGCTGAACACAACTTCAGTTTGTCCGTAGTCACCGTCTTTGTCAACATGTCTGCCGGATTTTGAGCTCCACTAATCTTTTCAAGTTTCAAAATCCCATCTTCCAGAAGAGACCGGATAAAATGATATCTCAATTGTATGTGCTTTGTCCTGGAATGAAAAGACGGATTCTTTGCTAGATGGATAGCACTTTGAATGTCGCAATACAAGATATTGTTTTCTTGTTTCTTGCCTAACTCTTCCAAGAAACTTTGGAGCCAAACCATCTCCTTGCTGGCTTCCGTAACAGCGACATATTCTACTTCAGTTGTGGAGAGAGCAACTATCTTCTGTAGTTGAGAAACCCAACTCACTGCAAGTTCCTCCTAGAGTATAGACATACCCTGTAGTGCTCCTTCTGATCGACATTTCCGGCTAAGTCAGCATCTACATAGCCTGTCAGTATCATATCTCCACCTTTGAAACAAAGTGCTTTGTTTGTGGTACCCCAAGATATCTGAGGATCCATTTGACTGCTTCCCAGTGTACCTTGCCCGGATTATTCATGTACCTGCTAACAGCTCCCACTGCATGAGCAATATCTGGTCTGGTACAAACCATGGCATACATCAGACTTCCAATTGTTGAGGCATACGGCACCTTCACCATGTGTGCACGTTCTTCCTTTGTCTTTGGTGATTGGTTTTTGGAGAGTCTGAAATGAACACCTAAAGGTGTACTTACTGGTTTAGCATCTTACATGTTGAACCTGGAGAGTACTTTGTTGATGTACTCAGCCTGCGATAACATTAAAGTCCCCGACTTTGTGTCTCTCTTGATCCTCATCCCAAGAATCTGCTTTGCAGCGCCCAGATCCTTCATAGCAAATTGCTTCGACAATTTTTGCTTCAAGTTTATGATCTCTTGCATGTTTGAGCCTGCAACGAGCATGTCATCAACGTACAACAATAAAATAATGAAACTATTATCGAACCTCTTGATGTAGCAACAATGATCTGCTTGGCATCTGGTAAAACCACTGCTACTCATGAAACTATCGAACTTCTTGTACCACTGTCTAGGAGCTTGTTTTAAACCATACAAGCTCTTCTTCAACCTGCATACCAGGTTTTTCTTGCCTGCCTCTATGAAGCCTTCTGGCTGCCTCATATAGATCTCTTCCTCCAAATCACCATGAAGGAAAGCTGTCTTTACATCTAATTGCTCGAGATGTAAATTCTCCGCAGCTACAATTTTCAACACCAGTCTCATTGTAGACAGTTTTACGACTGGAGAGAAAATTTCATTGTAGTCAATACCTTCTTTTTGCTGAAAACCTTTGACAACCAATCTTGCTTTGTAGCGTTTTTCTCCATCATGTTCTTCTTTGATCCTGTAAATCCACTTGTTATGGAGCGCTTTCTTGCCTGGTGGTAATTCAGCTAATTCCCACGTCTGATTGACATAAGCGAGTCCTCTCATCTTTCATGGAAGACTCCCACTTGACTGAATCCTCCACCTGCATTGCTTCATCATAGCACTCTGGTTCACCATTGTCAGTCAACAAATAGTGCAAAGAAGGCGAATACGTTGGGTTGGTTTAGGAATTCTGGAGGAGCGTCCTCAGTTCTGGTGTGGTGGTTCTTCTTGAACTGCTTCAGGATTGATCTGAACATCATTTCCAGAAATATCCTCGAACTCAGCAAATTCCTTTGTTTCAGCTTCGGTTACTTGATCTGCGGTTGACCTATCTTTGTACATCACATTTTCATTGAAAATGACGTCTCTGCTTCTGATGATCTTTCGATTTTCGTAGTCCCAAAACGGTAACCGAACTCATCACCACCGTAACCAACAAGACGCATTTGTTGGACTTGGCATCAAGTTACTTCTTTCAGCAGAGTTTATGTGTACATAAGAAATACAACCAAACACTCTTAAGTGTGAAAGGTTTATTTCTTTCTTGCTCCAAGCTTCCTCTGGTATTCCGCCATCCAAAGGAACTGAGGGCCCACGGTTGATCAGGTAAGCTGCAGTGTTGATAGCTTCAGCCATAGAAATTTGGGCAATCCGGCATGTATCCTCATGCTTCTGGCACGTCATTCAGAGTTCTGTTCATGCGCTGCTACGCCATCTGCTGCGGTGCTATGGGAACTGTTGTCTCCATCTTGATCCCATTGTTTGCGCAGAAATCTCTGAAACTACTGTCTCTGTACTCTCCTCCATTATCAGACCTCAACCGCTGACTTTCAAACCAGTCTCATTTTCCACCATGGCCTTCCATTTTCTGAAGGTATCAAAGACTTCTGATTTCTTCTTCAGAAAATAAACCCACACTTCCTTGTGAATCATCGATGAAGGTGACAAATATAGTGAGCCTGCAAGAGATGGAACAGGGGATGGTCCCCATAAATCAGTATGAACCAATTCTAACCTTTCTGCCTTGGGAGTCTTGCCAATCTTTGTAAAACGATTTCTTTTGTTTTCCAAAGATGCAATCCTCGCATAGTCCGACATCTACATTCTTTAGATCTGGCAGCTTCCCTTTTGACAGAAGTATCTTCATTCCTTTCTCGCTCATATGGCCGAGCCTTTGGTGCCATAGGTTTGATTTTCCAT